CAGTGTAACGCTTACCGCGCTGAGAAGTAAGACGACGACACTGTAAGTGGGTAACACGTGAGGAAAAGGCGACGTGGAGGCTTAAAGTGAGGACTTTAGGACTCTAGTTTGAATTACTTTGGTACTGGGTGGCTTTGTCGAACTCAGGGAGGCCCGCCTGGTGCGGTGCCACACTGTATCGGGTGTCGTGGATCTGGCCCGGCACGCCGTCCCGGAGTTCCAGCCTTCCAGTGCCTCGGATTATGAACGGGCGTCTAATGGCGACGACATAGAGCGCGGGGTTCAACTCGCCCGGTTGCATTTTTTTGTAAAGCGTTTTTGAACGCTTTTTCCTGGTTTTTGACCCCAGGGAACATCCAACAAAACCGGCGCCGTAACAAAGAAGCCCTCTTAAGGTCTCACAACGAGGAATCGTTATCAGGGTGTGATCAAATATCCTTGGGATCAATCTCCCTAATTACTGGTATTTCTTTTCTCCCTTTTTGCCGAATGCTCCTCTTTTTTTGCCGTGTTTCGCGGTGAACATTGGTCGGTGTGCGCTTCGCTTTTCAAATTCTGTGAAGAAGAGGTCGAGCACCAAGCAGGCGGAGCAGGCGAAGCAAGGTATCACGACCCAGACCGAAGCCAGCACCTCGCCGCGCGCCCAAGAGTAACCTATGCACAGCAACGCCGGAATTAAGACGATTAGGGGCCGTGTGGGGATGTATTACATCTGGAACAGACACAGGCACACACACACACACACACGGCCGGTCGACTGCACGCCGAACACGTTCAAACAACACGTAACGGATCAGCTAATTAATACAATGGCATCGTCCTAGGCGCCATTAGGAGCCGTGGCACGTTGCAGACTGAGGCCCCGTAATCCATGGGGCCCACTGGGAGGGGGAGGGGCTTAGAGTGTGATGACCAGGGGGTGGCTAGCGTGTACTTTCCTGAGGCTTTCCGGCGGAATCCTGCCGGTTTTAAGGGTGGCGGTTATGACACGCGGTAGTCTATCCCAGCAGTGCAACAAAAGGTGCACCACTGCCACTTCTCTGGTCGTCCGGCAGACCACGCCACTGCGAGTCCAAAGGCCGTAAAACAAACGCCCGGCCGGCATTCCGCAGTGATCACACCCTCAGGTCGAGCTAGCTACCGCGGGTGCGAAATCGGGCCCCGGACATGTGGACCGTTAGGGTGGACCTGGAAAAGAGTCCGTTTTGCTGGCAGAGTCCAAAAAGGTCCCTTTTGGAGTAATGTGTAAATTTTATTTTAAAGTTTGTTTTTTTTGGCCTTAACCGTTTATTTTTTAAACAGTCTGGACGATTTCAAAACCAGAAAAACTGTGCAATACGTTTAGAACTTAGAATTTTTTTTCACTCGTTAAATAATTTTTTCCCCCTGATGTACCTTACTGCCGATAGGAATCCCGTGGCGAGCATTCATTTCGCTCCGCAGGTCCAGACCGCCGCGTGCCACGCGCGTCCGGATCACGGAGTGCCTCGTAAGGTTGGCGCTCGCCCGGCGGAGGCCCGGCGGAGGGCGTAAGACCGAAGGCGTGTTCGCACACTGTAAGCCCGCTGTTAGCCGCGGGCACCGCCAAGGCACTGCAAGGCACCAGCGAGTAAACACGGGCCGGGCCCCTGTCAACGCCGTCAGGCGCGTAAAAGTTAGTAGTTCGCGTCGCCACGCCTCGCATATCGAAGATCGAAGGCGGCGTCGAGATATCGATCGAGTAACAGCTAGTGGCGGCGCGCTGCAGGCAGTGCAGGCGCCTAGGGGATGCTGTTAGTTGTTGCTGCTCGCTGCGCCTGATGATCAAATGCACATGCCTAAATATAGCAGCCGAACGTTTAATCTCGCGGAGATAAAGAATCACGGTGCACGAAGTATGTGTGCTTGTGCCAGCAGGGCCGGCAGGCCCGGCAGCCGGAACGGCGTCTAGTCAAACGACCCCATCTAAAGCGCCCCCCCCCCCTCCAGGTCCTCATTTGTGTCCATCTTTTTGGCGTCAAGTCCACAGCCCCGGGGAATGCGAGAATTGAATGGTGCGGTCAGAAAGTAGCGCGGGAGCCTTTCGAGCTATCGAACTCGCCTTTCGAGCTATCGATCTTGCCTTTCGAGCTTATCAAGTTAGCCTTCAGATATCAAACTCACCTTTCGAGATATCGAACTTGAATTTCGAGATGGTCAAGTTAGCCTTTCGAGATATCAAACTCGCCTTTCGATATATCGAACTCGCCTTTCGAGCTATCGAACTCGGCCGCGTGCCGCGGCGGCAACGAGGCGACGTTATGGGAGTCGTTAAGTAATGAAGTAACGAGCCCCGCCGGGACAATAACTGGCAATTTATTAATGTATTGCCGGCCTGCATCCACCCTGGCAGCGACGCCGTGACCCGCAAGTCATCGACATATTGAACAATAATTTCTGCATACAATGGCGGACTAGTGCAGTGCGTGTGCGGGGCGTGGCGTGGCGGGGCCGCGCCAGCGAATCCCCATGCAAATCTGAATCTGCGGCCAGCCCACTGCAAAGTGCGGTACGTACACACACGCCGATGAATCAATCGCCGTGGCGGAAAACTGACCTACATTCCCGAGAACGCCGATACGCGTGGCGCCGCGCGCAAAGCAAAACGAAGCAAAAAAAAAGTCAGACTCGAAAAATTGAGCGGCAATCATCATCGTCATTATCTGTCTCTCTCCCCGCTCTCTGTGTCTGTCGCTCGAATTCTTGGGGAAAACTCTGTTGCACGGGGACCGCGCCGGCTTTATGATGCGATGAGTCGCGAGTTTATGACTCGTAACTTTCAGGGGCGCAAGTGCGCTATAAATTTACAACTGTTATTTTGTAACGAAATAAAAAAAGGGAGGGAAAGACGGGAGTAAGAGGTAAGAAGAAAAAGAGGGAGTCTCCGGGAAGCGGGAGTTTCGTTCTTTTCTGCTCCATTGATGAATGACGTTTGCTCCCGTTACTCTGTCTGTGTGTGTGACTGTGTGTGTGCGTATATCGCCCAGCTGTAATCTGAATGGACGTGTAACGACCTTAAGCTGTGAATGGTCCATCGGAGAGCACATTCCATCTAACGTTAACTCTTTGAATGTGAGGCGCATACGCTCGTAGAAAGCGTGCAGCAGGTCAAGAAGTCGCCGCACAGTGGGCCAGAAGACCGGTGGAGGTGGCCAAAGTTCTAGAGACGTTTCGAGCTCCAGAGTCGCTTCGGTATTTTGGCAAAAATTCCCATTACGCGCCGGTATTGAAAGGGTGCCAACCTCAACGTGAACCTCAGCGCGCTGGCATGGCAGACCTGCTGACCAACTGCCCCAGCGCGCAGTGTGATGACCATGAAATGAAGCCCGCTGTGGCGCTGTCACCACGGCCGCCCGATTTGGTAGTTTAACGCGGACGAACCGGAAGCCGGGAAGTCTGGTGTAAACGGCGGGGCCAGGCGCGGGGCGGGGCGGACGAACCGTATCACGGAAATGCTCCCGTTCGGACGACACCTGCAAAGGCAACGACCAACCGGCGGGGCCATCAGGCCATCAGGCCTTGAAGCGGGGCTTGATGCCCGAATAATGAGATCCGACTGGAGGGGGGCCCCTGGACCCCCCGTCTGATCTCGCTGCAAGGCATTTACTTTTTCCTTTTTTTTTGCCCTTGCAGGTGTGATGCATCAATGTCGAACACGCGTGTGCATGTTCCGGATTACAGCCTTCGGAAAGGGGTGGACAAAAAAAGAAAAACTCGCTGCTCAAAATGACATTGATGCTTCTTAAGTGAATCCAGGGCACAACAACAACAAGAATAACAACAATAACATGAACAACGTGGAACGCGCGCGGCGCTACACGCGCGCCCGCAGGGTGGCCAGCGCTGCAGTGCTCCAGTACAGGTGCAGCCGCAAGGTCCTGAAAAAGAATGTCAGTCTGTGACCCTGCAGCCCTAGAGGTGGCCCTACGGGGGGCCCTGCGGAGCCCTGCGGAGGGTCCCGCGGGGGGCCCAACGGGGGGCCCGAAAGGAGGCTCCCAAACAGTGACTCGTTGTGACTTTCTCTCTCTCTCTCTCCCTCGGAGCAATGAGGCAAACGTCACCGGAAAATCGGTCGGGCTAATACGTTCCGAGGACGGGGCCCGGGAAGGACGTTCGGGTTACTCGCTCGTTGGGCGAAGACGCGGAGACGGGAAGCAGGGGGACGACGAAATGACTCATTCCGAGACTGAAACAAGCAAACTCTCATTGCCAGACGGTAAATACCGCAAGTGCACGTTCGCTGCGCCGCGCCGGGGCGACGGGACGCAGGCTGTCGAAAATCCCTCTGGGCTGCGCGGGGCGGGGGCGGGGCGGGGCAGACTCAGTCTGTCGCGTCGAGTCGGCGGGACCGGCGCGGCGCAGTGCGCTGTTCCGTGACGCTCTTCCCGCTTGCAAATTGTGGCCATTTATTACGAACTAGCGCCACACCGCGCCCCGCCCCGCCCCCCCCGCCCGCCCCGCCCCTCGAGGCGTCCCGTTCCGAGCGGGCAGACCATGATGCAGCCCTGCAGGCCGAGGGCAGGTAGGTCCAGCTGCAGCCCGCCGAGCCACTACAATGCTGCAGGCAGGACCGCCCGGAAACGCGAGCGGGTCACTGGGTCCATGTCCCTGGTGTCGCCGCGGAGTCGCCTCGGTGTCGGTATTCGCGGGGGAAGTCCCAGAGCAGGTGTCGCAGGCCGCGGCGTCGGCGCGCCGAGCTGGCCGGGTCAGTGTCTCGAGCCGCGGTCAGCAGACTCATTCCGAGAGTCGGTATCGTCGCTCTGTCTCTCTCGCACCTACACGCGACGCTCCATGAGCGCGAGAGAGACAGTGTATGAGTCGCGCCGCCGCCCACCGTCGCCGCCCGCACTGCCTGCATTCGCGTCGCGATTCGCGTGCATCCAGGTCACGTGCGCGGCCGACTCACACAGTGTGGCGGTCTGGGTGGGCAGCGCGCCAAATTCCACGCAGCAGATTAAAAGGGAGAAACGCTTGTGTTGCAGGTGGCCTGGCCAAGTCGCAGTTCCCCGTGTTCACCCTGTTCGCGCAGAAGACGTGTCTGCGCGGCGCCAAGGCCGGCGCGGCGGGCGGCGCGGCCAAGACGGGGGCGCCGGCCAGGAACTGGGCCTTCGAGACGGTGCGGGGGCACGTCCTCAGGACCTCCGTGCGCCGCCACCACCGCGTCGCCTCGCGCAGGGACTGCATGCAGCTGTGCCTGGACCAGCGGGACTTCGTCTGCAGGTGAGTGGAATGTCGCGTGGACCCCCGCCGCGGTGGCTAAATTAATTCTTTTCTCCCGTCCGCCGAGATGGACGAGAAGTGCCCCGGCGTGGACGCGAGGATGGCCCGGTAGGCGCCGATGGGCGCCAACGCCTTGTCGAGTCAGTTCCCCGGCCACCCGCTGCTGCTAGCAAAAGTGTCTCCGCGGCTTGTTGTTGTTGTTGTCGGGGCGTAAAACTGTTGTTGTTGTTGCTGCCGCTGCACCTGATATCATCAATCCGCTCCGTTTATCTCGCTGAAAAAAATAAAACACAATAAAAACGAATGGAAAAGACGTCTTGACGAGCTGATGTTCTCGACACGATAGGCGAGCAGCTAATCCAACCCGGCAGCAAAGTGCAATCCGCACTCAGCGCGCCTGGCTGCCTGGCCACTGGCAGACTGCGCCGTGCCCCCCCCCCCTCTCCGCCACGCCAGGTTCGATTTGGCTTTTGGCCCAGCCTTCTATTATCTCTTTAAATTGTCGTTGACAGGCGACGACGGTCATCGGTCGCGTCGGTCGTCGCCGCCGCGCGGTCGCAGCTGGTCGGTCTGTTGGTCGCAGGTTCCGTTCTTTGTCTCTCTGGAGAGTCCATTGCCTTCTTTTCTATCACCAGCATGCCCTCCTCTGCGGCCGCACCGCGCCTGTTGCCGGTTCCCTCGGCCTGGCTCGGCCCTACAGTCTAGAGAGTCGCTAGTCGCTGGCTAGATAGGGAGACAAGGTGGGGTTGTCGGGGCGCGCGTCAACCAACACTCCGCCGCCCTAGTACCGGCATGTGTGTGTGTGCGTGTGTGTGCTTTCGCACTTTACTTGGCACGTCGGTAGGCGAGGCATGAAAACGGCTGGAACCGCCGCCAGATCCGAATCGGCGTCACGCCGCTCCGCGCTGCTCCGCGCACTGCACTGTAGGACTGCAGGTGCGAACGCAACTAAATTGGAAACGTCCTTTTAGGAGGCTTTTTGATGCCGGCGGTGCTGCTCCTCGTGCCGACCGCTTGCTGCCTGCTCGCCGCGCCGACGGCGGTGTGAATGGACCTAGGCAAACGGGGCGGGGCGGGGCGTGGCGACAGGGCATTAACGTCATCTAGTTATCGCCAGGCTTAATCGCCGAGCGGACCTGACTCGGATCGCTGGGCTGGGCTGCGTCGCCGCCACGCCGCGCCGCTCCGTGGGGGTCCTCCAGGCACGGCACACCGAGAGTCTGTCTCTCTCCCACTCATGGGGCGTGTCTTGTGGCTGCGAGAAGGACAGTGTGCTGGACCGCGTGCCGGAGGTTCGAAGCGCATGGTACTGCCGATGCAGAACAAGCGCTTCCGTCGCTCTGTCTCGCTCGCACGCTGCGGCCCCGCGGGGCGCCGCGTGGTGTGAGAGAGAGACAGTGCGAAATCGGTGTGAGCGCCATGCCATCGCGAGGCGCGGCGTGAGGCTTGAGACGCGGGGGCTCCACACGCGGAGGTTGTTCCGTTCAATTACCCATGCGATGCGAGTAGAGCGTTCGCGCTGCGTTCCGCGTTGGCCTGCATGGCCTCCATGGCCTGCATAGCCTGCATCCGACACGCAGGGAAACCCAAGACATCCCTTGTCGTGGTCCAGGCTCGACATTATCAGTGTGCGTATAGTTCAGTGAAATCACTTCAATCACTTTTTGACCATTTTTGCGAGGTCACTGCTCCCAAACTAGCTGCGGTCAAAGCCTTCCCGAGGCGGGGCATGAAAGACTAGGGTCTTAAGAATACTAGGGCGTTGAGGGAGACCTTTGACCGCAAATAGATTGGACGCAGTGGCCGCCCAAAGTCAGCAAAAACGGTTACTTTCGGAGATTTATTTACATTTTGACCATTTTTGCGAGGTCACTGCTCCCAAACTAGCTGCGGTCAAAGCCTTCCCGAGGCGGGGCATGAAAGACTAGGGTCTTAAGAATACTAGGGCGTTGAGGGAGACCTTTGACCGCAAATAGATTGGACGCAGTGGCCGCCCAAAGTCAGCAAAAACGGTTACTTTCGGAGATTTATTTACATTTTGACCATTTTTGCGAGGTCACTGCTCCCAAACTAGCTGCGGTCAAAGCCTTCCCGAGGCGGCGCATGAAAGACTAGGGTCTTAAGAATACTAGGGCGTTGAGGGAGACCTTTGACCGCAAATAGATTGGACGCAGTGGCCGCCCAAAGTCAGCAAAAACGGTTACTTTCGGAGATTTATTTACTTTTTGACCATTTTTGCGAGGTCACTGCTCCCAAACTAGCTGCGGTCAAAGCCTTCCCGAGGCGGGGCATGAAAGACTAGGGTCTTAAGAATACTAGGGCGTTGAGGGAGACCTTTGACCACAAATAGATTGGACGCAGTAGCCGCCCAAAGTCAGCAAAAACGGTTACTTTCGGAGATATATTTACATTTTGACCATTTTTGCGAGGTCACTGCTCCCAAACTAGCTGCGGTCAAAGCCTTCCCGAGGCGGGGCATGAAAGACTAGGGTCTTAAGAATACTAGAGCGTTGAGGGAGACCTTTGACCGCAAATAGATTGGACGCAGTGGCCGCCCAAAGTCAGCAAAAACGGCTGCTTTCGAAGATTCGATCACGTGCACAATTTTTGTCGTAAAAGCAGCACTTCTGATCGCCTAAAATTTAACAGAGTGCGATCCCTTCGTGGAAAACTATAATTCGAAACGGAGCTGTCCGAGTCTGCAGCACGCGAGCTTCGCACTGGTACACTGGTATACCTCGGACGGCTAACACCTCAGAAATGTGACACCTCTGCATATCTCTCTCGCCCGGCGCGCGTTTGGCCGCCCTGCTCGACTTTTGCTGCGGGTCTCGCGTCTCTCTCGCACGCCGGCTTGACGCCCCGTGAGTGCGAGAGAGATGGAGAGAGAGAACGTGCTACACACTGAACGGGAAGGCGCGCGGCGTGGCGTGATTTCCTTGACCCTGATACGGGCTTTGTTTCAAGGGCCGCGGTGCCGCCACGCACGCCGCCAGCACGTCGCTCCGTCTCTCTCGCACCCGCGGGGCGCGCCGCAGGGGTGCGAGAGCGACGGAGCGATTGTTCGGCGCTGCCGGCGTGGACGGCGTCGTCACTGATCCGCGAATCACGACACGACAGGGGCGTGGTGGTCCAGTAGACCGAGAGCCGTCTCTCTCGCTCCGATACGGGGCGCCCCGTGAGTGCGAGAGAGACAGCGCGACTCTCGGAATCGGTCTGCCTCGGCCCGGGCCAAGAGAAGGAGAATGTGTTGATTAGTCCGATGCGCCCCTCGACCGGCGGAGAGGAGAGGGCCTTCCTCCGCGCTTTCCAGCACGACGCCGTCCTCGCCGCCACGCCGCCGCGCCGCCTCGCCAAGTAGTGCTGGCAGCCTGCTAACCAGGCCACGCCGGGCCACGCCGGCCCTGCAGTGTAAGTTAGTTCCGTCCGGGCGTCGAGTGGAGAGGACATTCCGGCGTGAATCACTCTTCGGACTTCGGGAACCTTCGGGCACCGTCGGAGCGCCTGCGAAGTGCGGGGTAGGCTGGCCCGCCGAACACCCGCGTCGCGCAGCGCGGCCCATCTCCCGCTTGGCAGGCGCTTCGGCGCCCGTCTGTCTGTCTGTCTGTCTGTCTGTCTGTCCGTCTGCCCTGTCGCCGGCCTGCCTGTGACTGGCGGCGTGTATCTCCGTCTGTCCATCGGTCTGTCCGGTGGTGAGGATCTAGCGTGCTCTGTCCGCGGACCGCGAAGCACCCTGGTCGCTAATTTATATACCCCTCCCTCAAACGGCGCGGCACGGCACGGCTCGGCACGGCACGGCGCGGCACGGCATCTGACGAGGCGGGGCGGTATCTCCATCTTCCCACCATTCATCGCCACGGTGGGGGTGGGCGGCGCGAAAAAAAAAGATAAACAACAATAATAACAATGACAAGGCCGGGGTGTTCCGCGGCGTTCCGCGGCGGTGCTACGGTGTAATGGATGGCGACCGAGATGGTCCGGCGGACGACTCGATGAGTTACGGCGCCGCTCGAACATTACTCGATTACGGATCGATCCCCGCGACCGCGCCTCTGTCTCTCTCGCACCCCGACGGCGAGCCCCGCGAGAGCGACGGAGCGAGAATCGCCGCTCCGTCCGTGCCGATCGCTGATTGGCTGGTTAGCGAAATACCGCGCGGCCGGACTTGCAGTGGAGGCGCCGGGCCCTCGGCCGGACCACCCGGAGTCCCGCTAAGGGGTCACTGGCGGTGCCACGATTTTAATAAGCTCCACGCAGCGGCGGGGCGCGCCGGCCGCGGCTGCTTTTGGCGGGAAAATGATCCGGGCTGCGGAAGAAAAGTACGAAAGTCTCAATAACCGCAGCTTTGAGTGTAGAGTTAAAATACTTGGAAATCGGATTTTGAAACCAAGTCTTGCCTGAAATTTGAATTCGACGTGGTTTGGCGGGCCGGCTGGCTGGTCCGTTCGCCGCGGAAGTTCGTAAGAACGCGGCGCGGTTTGACGGTGGGCTGCGCTGCCGCGCGGCTCCGCGCGGCCTGGGACAATGGCGGGGCGCGGAGAGCCCAGTGATGAAAAATGTTTTTGACGTGGTGGCCGACGACCACCCTATCGCCGGCTGGCCCCTCCCCTCCCCTCCCCGTAGGCTTGGCGTCGTCGGTGCTCGCGGAATCAACGGAGTCGCTCAAGTGTTTCGATGTCGTCGTCGCCGTCAAGTCGGACCGCCCTGTGATAGCCAGGGCCGTTACCCGGGCCGGGGCGATCCCTGGCCGTGGCCGAGGCCGTGGTCGAGGCCGTGGTCGAGGCCGTGGTCGAGGCCGTGGCCGAGGCCGTGGTCGAGGCCGAGGCCGTGGTCGAGGCCGTGGTCGACGCTAGGCTACTCGCTACGCCGCGTCGCCGCGCTAGGACAGTGGCTTGCCTGCCTCTCTTCGTCCACTTGACGCATTCCTGGCTCCACAAATAACACCACTTACCGCCGGCTGCCTGTCCGCCGGCCGAAAAAAGGGCCGGCTGACGCGCGGAGTCGCTGAGTAAAAATGACATCTATATCGCCCGCCGTCGGGCTGTCGTCGTGACGTCATCGACGTCATCGACTGGAGAGTCGAGAACTCGAAGCAGACGGTCGCCGCCGTCCCGAACTCGCTGCCTCTTCTTCTTTTTTCGGTTGCCGTTTCCTCGTTACGCGCAATCAGCGTGCGATGTCCCAGCCTCCGGACTGCAGTTGCAAACACAAGTCGGACGGTGTAACGGAGGCGAGGGTTTTTCGTTTTTCGATTACTCGAACTCGTACTCGTTTTTGCGTGCCCGGCCCGCGTGTCCGCGTTTGCGGTGTGGTGGTGCCTGCCGGATTCCTGCAGGAGCAGGCTGTGTAAATCTCGCCGCATTTTCGGCCCACCAACACGTTCCTTTCTTTTTTTAAAAAAAAATTAAGCTTTGCGGTTTGTGCAGCTTCGCGCTGCTTCCCGGTGAAATTGGCTGCAATATGTCATCGCGGTGCCTCCGGACTCCTCCCCGGACTCCTCACGGTGGGCGTGCAGGCATTTCCAGTGGAGTGGACGCGGCCCGGCAGAGAGCTGCGGCTGCTGCTGCAGAGGGCCGTACCTCAGATTGCACGTCAAAGTGTCAAAGCAGGCGTGTTTAGTAAATTGAAAAGGCGGTATCGAGGACGTGGCATTTTCACACACCGCGTGCGGGGAGAATTCGAGAGTTCATGCTGTGGCGCTGTTGGCCATGTTTGCTCCCAGCAGCTGTGTTGGCCGAGAGCACAGAGGCACCGGATTCCATCAGTAAGGTCCGGCGATCGACTCCCGACAGTTCAAATTTTTTTTTTGAGTGGCCGAGAGTGGCAGTTTCTGTACACTCCAATTTTTTACTTCTTTATTTTATTTTTTACAGTGGTTCCGGGTTGTGACACAATGCGGCGAAATTCCCCGCGAGGTTTTACAGCGCACTGGAATTGGCATTCCTCCATTCCAAGGCGAGGCAAGGCCGAGGGGGCGCGCGGGCCAGCCTCCAGCTCTAGCCTCGCGGCGTGCCGCTTCAGCCCGCGTGCCTCTCTATAAAGGTCCCGGTGACTTGCATCTAATTTTTGCGTGAGCCTTGCCCTGCCCCGCGCGCGTCATGCGTAAAGTCCGTTCTCGTAAAGTTACCGTTGAATGCGTTAAATGCTCAGTCCGCTGCGGCGTTCCAATTTTTCGCTGCTCCGCGGAGCGCCGCTCTCGACCATGACAAAGTCGGCCCGCCGTAAGAAGCCAAACAACAAGCTGGTTGTTGTTGTTGTTGTTCACAGTGCGTCGCGGTGGATAGGAACCGTCTCATCCTGAACAAGTCCTTCGTCGCTCTGTCTCTCTCGCACCCCTACGGGACGCGCCGTGAGTGCGAGAGAGACAGAGCGACAGCACCGTGCGGCTCCTCTCGTAATGCCCCGCGTTTTACGCGTTAATCCTGCTTGATCCTGCCGCCACGCCCCCGGGACTCATTTACGCCCGGCGAGGCCGTCGTCGCCGTCGTCCAGGTCGTCGTCGGCGTGCTCGAGTCCGGCGGAGCGTCTCCGTTTCCGCCTCGCCAAATGTCACGCAGACCTTTTGGTTTCCAGTGCAGGGCACAGTGCAAGGAGAGCGACACGCGAGGGGCGGAGAGGCGCCGCCTTGTAAAAAAAGAGGATTCGAATGATTGGAATGGAGCGCGCCATTGCCATTTGAGGGGAGCATCCACTGCGAGTGCCTTGACAGGAAGCGCCCCATTGACAGCACTTGGCACCGCTCTGTTCCGCGCCACTTTTTCTTCCTCTCTCTTTTTTCTTTCTCTCTCTCTCTCTCTCTCTCTCTCTCTCTCTCTCTCTCTCTCCTCTCCTCACTGGCGCCTTACTCAATTAAAAGCCATTTGTTGCGAGGCGCGGGGCAGTGCATACCGCACGCGGTCGCGGCCAGCACACCTTCAAAAGCGCGCGGCCTGTCTGTCTGTCTGTCTGCCTGTCTGCCTGTCTGTCGGTCTGTCTGTCTGTCTGTCTGTCTGTCTGTCTGTCTGTCTGTCTGTCCGTCCGCGCGTCTGCAGGCCCAGCACGCGCCCGCCTCCATTTCGGATGCAGCCTGCGACTTCAAAGGGCTACCGGGAACGGCACCGCTTATATGCCCCGACGTGCGCGCCGCCTGTGTATAGCACGCGGCGACCGCGGCGCGCGAAAAAAATAAATAAAAAGAGAGAGAGGGAGAAAGAAAACAAAAAGGAAAAGGAGAGGGAAAAAGAAAGTAACTGAACGACTTTCGTCGGAAGAACTTGGCAGGTGGTTCGATTAAACGGAATCAGTGCAGGGCCGTGCAGGGCACTGCTGGACGGCGGGGCGAGGACGTTAGTGGAATTGCTCTAGTGCGACTTTTTTTTTCAGCGCGCTCGCTTTGTAGGGAGCAACTTGTCAGCACGTGTCCGGGCATTTCATTTCATTCGCCTTGTGTGATTTCGCTCTGCGCAGGTCCGCCAACTTCCACCACGACTCGGGCGACTGCTCCATGAGCGACATGGACCGCTTCACCGTGTCCGGCATGAGCAGCCTCACAGCCGAGGAGCGCGTCGACTACCTCGAGTCCAACTGCGTGAGCGACCCCATCAAGATGTGTGACTTCACGGAGCAGCCGGGCCGCATCCTCAAGACGGTGGACTCGGTGCACCAGGACGTGGCCTCGCTGGCCGACTGCAGGAAGCTGTGCCTGCAGAGCACCGAGTTCCGTTGTCACAGTTTCGACTACGAAGACACCGGCCCCAAGGTAGGCGGCGCTCCGTCTCTCTCGCACTCGCGGCGCGTCTCGCAGGGCCGCGGGGGTGCGAGGGAGACGGCGCGACAAAGCGGTGTCCGGAATCGCCGCCCGGATACTGCCCATTACGCACCGGGGCTTAACGTAATTTTTCTTGTGGGAGACTGAGTGACTGACTGGCGACTTCGCCGGGCGCGTCTGGCGTTTGGGAATCCCGGAATCCCGCTGGATAGAATAAATAGAAATAGCCCAGTTCCCGAGGGAATGCCGCGCGTCTGGGTTCCGCGCATTCCGGGGCGTGTTACGTGGTTTATGGACGGCTCTGCGTGTTTCAGGTGTGCCGGCTGTCGCACCACGCGGCGCCCAGCCTGCAGCACATCGAGGAGCCGTACCTGGAGCTGGACAAGGCCATCACCTACCAGCTGACGGCGTGCTACAACGTCACCATCGACTGCAGGGGCACGGACATGGTGGCGCGCGTGCAGACCAACAAGGTGCGCGACAGACCGTGTCGGCCAAAACTCCAGACGCGTTTTGAGCTCCAGAGTCGCTAAATGGGGCTCGAAGCGAGCGTGTGACCCCCACCGATGGGTTCCTCGTTCGGAGAGCAATCCATTGGTGGGGTCAGACGTTCGGTTCGAGGCCCATTTAGTGACTGGAGCTCAAAGCGCGTCCAGAATTTTGGCCACCTCCACCGGTCTTCTGGCCCACCGTGCGTGGCCATTTCACTTCACTTTCGGAGCCGCAAATTTGGGTTGTCCTACGTGCTGTTCCGTGTCGCCAGGTGTTCAACGGCAAGGTGTACGCCAAGAGCAGGCCCAACTCGTGCGTGTCGGACGTGGTGAACAGCCTCGACTTCCAGCTCAAGCTGGGCTATCACGATCTCAACTGCGACGTGAAGCAGGACGCGCCGGGCAAGTTCTCGGCCGATATCATCATTCAAGTGAGTATGAGAAATGGAATCGAACGCACGTCCCGCCCGTTTTCACACCAGGCGGCGCGGCGGCGGCGGCGCCACTGGAAGACAAACAAAAACAAAACAAGAAACTGGGCCGAAATTGCGGTGGCTTTCCGTAATCCGGGCGTTTGGGGCGACCGAGCCGAGCCGCCTGATGCTGGATGCCTGGAGGACAGTGACGGCATGACAGCGCAGGGCTCGCGGGACTCGCTATCTATGCGCTCCGCAGTCCGTACCAGTGTACCAGTCGTTGCTTCAATTAGGGTGGATACCGGACAGTGACCAACGAAACGGCGCTTGTCTGTCTCCCTCCCTCTCCCCCTCTCTCTTTCGCCGCAAACAATAACGGAGGCTTATGAAGTCATTAGAGGCGCTGCGCTCGCTGCGCTGGTCTGGGACTCGCCCCGCCCTCCTCGCCGTCGAGGACCTGAGAACGCCGTCGCCGTGATGTCACCACCACCACGCCGCCTGCCCGGGATTAGGACTGGCTGCATCTCTCCCTCTCTCTCCCTCTCGCTCGAGTATTTTTCACTTTAATTCTATTCTAATTTGTAAAGGCGCGCACCGTTACGGGCCGGGCTGGCCTGTTCATGACCGACGCAATGCGATCCCGTGCCCTCCGCCGAACAGTGACTTGGAATACCTGAGGGCCGCGCTCCGGGCTGAGCTAAGCGCTGGGCGCGGTGTTTCGGTTACGCCGCCACGCCCCGCACTTACAGTGGGCTGATTCCGAGCGGTGCTCTCGTCACTCTGTCTCTGTCGCACTCGGCGGGCGTCCCGCTGCGGTGCGACGAAGACAGAGAGTGCGCCGTCACGGAATTAGTGTCCCTTCTCATTGAAATGAGTCGCCTAAAGCGTGTTTGACTCGACTGTTGCAGCACCACGACCAGATTGTGACGGGCCAGGACGTGGGGCTGTCGGCGCGCTGCTCGTACTCCCTGGAGAACAGCACGGTGGGCCACGGCGTGCGCCTCGAGGTGGCCGGCGAGCCCGGCGGCGGCGGCGCGGGGGCCAACGCGGGGGCGGCGGGCAGCGGGGGCGCGGTGCAGTCCCAGGAGACCACGTACGTCGTCTCGCCCACCGTCACCATGCGCATCACGGACCGGCGTGGCGAGGACATCCACACGGCGCAGGTCAGGGTTCGAATACCGGTGTTGATTTACGAGTTTTTGCCGTCGGTTCGTTTGTTGTTCGCGCTCACCCATCGATTCTCACTGCGCAGGTCGGCGACGCGCTCAGCCTCCGCTTCTACATCCTGGACCAGCACACGCCCTACCAGATCTTCGTGCGCGAGCTGATCGCGCTGGACGGCGTGGACTCGTCCGAGATCCTGCTCATCGACAGCCTGGGCTGCCCGACGGACCCCACCATCATGGGGGCCATCTCGACCGTGGACACGGTGGACGGCTCGCAGGTGCTGCAGGCGCCGTTCGACGCCTTCAAGTTCCCCACGTCGGACGTGGTGCAGTTCAAGGCGCTCGTCACGCCGTGCCTGCCCAAGTGCGAGCCCGTGGTGTGCGACGTGGAGGACTACTACGGCATGGTGCGGCGCGTCGACTCGTACGGCCGGCGGCGGCGGCGCGAGGTGTCCTCCAAGGGCAAGGACGACGACGTCATCCTCATGCAGAGCATCCGCATCGCCGACAAGTTCCAGTTCGAGGCGCAGCCCCGCGGCAGCCTGGCTGGCGGCGGCCTCAGCGCGGCCAGCGCGGCCAGCACCAGCCCCAGCGGCCGGCGGCAGAACGCGCTGCGAGGCGACGACGCGCACCCCCAGGTGCGGGCCGGGCCCAGCGTGCACCGGTCGTGTGTGACGGCGTCCTCGCTGCTGCTGTCCGCCGCCGTGTTCCTGGGGCTGCAGGTTCTGCTGGCCGCGGGCTGGGTGTACCTGTGGCGGCCGCGGGACCACGGCGGGGGCATGGGGGGCGGCATGAGCACGGTGGCGGTGGGCCACACCGGCGTGGGGCGCCGGACTTCCAGGACGTCCTCCCTCGCCAGCAGCAGGTCGAGCTGCCGGTCCGTGCTCGCCTACCACTCGCACCCGCCCGGACAGCACTGGCAGAGGTTCTACCACGCGCCCTGAGCCTCCCGCCTCCAACGTGGTGAACAACTAGGCGGCCGGCGGCAGCGGACACGATCGGGCGGTGCGGGCCGGCGCGCCGATATCAACGTGTTTTCATCTCAAACTGCCACCGTGCTCCGTCCATTTACGGTGGCGTGGCACTGGGCCGCGCATCGGCCCTCCCCCTCCCCTCGCGTCACCCGGGACAGCAGCCCGCTATGGTGAGCCCTTCCAGGCCACGCGAGGGACTGCCGCCACCGCCACTGCCTCCGGCCCGTCGGCGAGGTGCTTGAAGCTCCCCCCGCCGCCTCCTCCCGGATGTCGCCGATGCGATGCGTCGCTCCGATACAATCGGTGCCCCGGTGCGCCCCGGCCCTGCTATGGCCCTGCTAGGCACTGCCTGGTTGACACTAGAGTCCTAGTTGACGCCGGCGGCACGGCGGCCGTGGGGACGGCAGGGAGCGCGGTGCCCCGCAGTGCCGCGGTGCGGCCTGGAACGGGGGCCTCATGGGCACGGCGCGGAACGCCAGCGTGCGCCACGCGGGCAGCATGCAGGCATCCAGGAAACATGTCCCGTGCTTGTATGTCTCTTTCTGCCCCCTCCCTTGCCCCTCCCTTGCCCCGCCTGCTCCGCAACCATTAGCAAGCCAAATGAGAGGCAGGGCCCCACTGGGCACCACGGAGACGGCGGGGCGGACGGGATGGGACGGAGCGCGAACCTTATTGTCACCGAACTCAACCCTTCCCGCGGCCGCGAGTTCCACCACGCTGCGACGCCGTGGTGCCGCCGTGGTGCCGCCGCCGCTGCCCACGATTTGGCGGCGCGCTTCCGGCCTCCGCGCGGCGCCTCCACGCCGATCCCATCAATGATAAATGAGATTTGCGCAATTAAGCGCGAGGAAAGTGAATGCAGGCGGCGGCGCTGACGCGGGCCTCGGCGCGGCGGCGCGGCGCTACTCCGCGACGGTGGGGACGCTACGCCGCGCGCTGCGCTGTGCTGCACTGTGCTGCGCTGTGCTGCGCCACTACACCGGCAGCGCCCGGTATTCGACCGTGGGAATGCTGAGAGAAGGCCATCCCCGCGCTCGGACACCGGGCCGCCCCCTTTTGTACAGCCCTCCTCTTCATTTCCATTGTTTATTTATTTATTTATTCCTTAATTTATTAAAAACAAATCCTTTATTTATTGTTTTCTTAATGTACTGTAGATTTTGTTAATGAATGTTGTGTCGTTGTTTTTAATGTTATTGTTTCGTGGGCGCGAAGTAATATGTATGTGTGATAAATTGGAAGCACGTGCAGTAAGTGTGTGAGTGTGTGAAGTGAACGTGGCACGCGCCTCGGTCCCTCGATGCCGGGGCTTCCCCAAGTGATTCATATGACTGACCGTCGTGCATTGCACCGAGTGTATGTCGATCGAAGCGATAGCGATAAGGCTGCAGGATTTCTTCGCACTCCTTTACTTCATTCAGATTCCGGTAAACTATTGTAGTGGCATTGATTGAACTGACCAATTTTGTTAAAATTTGTCAACATGGAAATTATAAACATGTACTGTTTGAAGTCACGTAAAGAGCTCTCATGTCCGACTTGCAATAAATGGCACTGGCCATATAACAGAAAAAGATAAAACTTTTTGATTGAGTTTGTCCCTAAACGGAAACCATTTGAACAGGCACCGGAAAGGTAGGCAACCCATCATCCACAGCTACTTCACCGTACCAGAGTTCAACTGAGGTCACGGGAAATGTCATTTTCACACTCAATAGAATACTTCTCCATACTTCTGTGTACTCAGGTGAGAGAAATCACCGATTCTCTTGGGGAAAGAACTACAACTCATTAATCTTAGTATAAATTATATATTTTTATTTTAAACTCTATTTACAATAACTTGTTAGCATATTTCTCAAAACCCAGTCATATGAAAATGAATGATTGATCAAAACCATGCGTTGTTCAGGTGAACAGATAACAAAACACAAGAGAGTACAGTAATACACAAGATTAGCATATCTTCCAAATTTAAGATGCTAAACGTACATGCATTTACCATAGCAATGGGAAATTTATAAAAAAATATAGAAGGATTAAGTTAAGTTGGATTCTAAAATACAATGAATAGAATTACAAAATCTTTATCACAGTTAGCTTGTAACAGTGAAACCATAAAACAATACCCTTTCGCAATTTGCAAGATGTGCATTTGGTAATTTTGTAAAATCATCAGTCAGAAAAAAATATTTGTAAAGAGGAAAGGTAAAAATAAATGTTTATGGAAGCAGCCACATTTTAAAAGTGCCCTGCCAGCAGAACAGCAACCCTTCCATCCCATATTGGCATATTTGTGCTCATAAGTCAGTTCTTTGCAATCCAGAAATGCCAAGAAAGTGGCATGGTAAATTAACGGTAAAACAAAAAAAAATACTAATTTTCTTTTACACAAAAATTAAAAATTTAAACCATGATGGTCACACCCCACAGGGTGGCAGAAACTGAGGAAGCAAATAAGCACTAACACTATAACAACTATAGGAATACAAAAATTGTTTTCTAAATGACAATGACGTGGGCAATCATGGACTTCTAATGTGTCTTTACAGTCTCAAATCATTCACTAAGAGTTAAAAAGCTACTCTACTTGAAATACCTTCAGCAAAATTTTGATTTGAGCAACAAAAACTCATACAATAAATCAAAGTTCCAGTATTGTATCATGATTAAGTAGTTTTAAAATAATAAAACATGAACTATATGCAGGAAGAAAAACATGAGGCAATTCAAATGCATAAGCAAACAAGAAGCCAATAAAAGAAAACTTACATAAAACACCGCTGCAATACCAGAAGTATTTGATCTTCAACTGAAGGACTCATTATTTACAGTAATGTGGTTCATTAGGACCTAATAAAGTTTCGATGTTTGCAATTGGCAAGTATTTCAACAGTCAATGTTTATATAGCTACACCTTAACCTAAAATGAATTTATCACTATGTCACATATTCAAAAGGACAACAGAAAGAAAACATTAAATTTCTCTTTCTTAGTTTGAAGTCATATGCAGGAACAAGAAAGAGTTACCTTGTTTCATTCGTTACGTTTTTGGTCACACAAAAAACTTTAACAACAAATCTTTAAGACATAAAAAAATGCAATGTTAAGCATCTTTCCGTTTGAGTAAAAAGGTCACATTTGTGAGCTTTAAAAACAGACGGTAAGATCGACCGCCCTTCAACAAGTCTTCAATTCTTTGAATTTTGTACTCATTAATAACAATAATAATAATGATAATACGTAGTAATAATGTTTCTTAAAACCGGATCTTTCCAGCAACAATCTCTTGATAGGCAGCATCAGTGAGGAGTTGGTATTCCCCTTTGGAAGTGAAGTAGTAAATCTTGTCCTTCACTGAAGAGGGATTGAAGCCCTCTGCCTGAAGATCCTTTTTCTTCAACTTGAAAGTTCCTAAAAAAATAAAAATTAAAATTAACAATGAGAGCAAAGCCTTGCATCAAAAGTTTCTTGTTCATTGGAATGTATTCATCGGCAACATTGTACCTGTCATTTCAACTTGTCGCAACGCACGGATAAACTGGGGTCTTGCGTACGCTGGTAGAGCTCTTCGAACTCCCTCTGCAATCGCCTGGAGATCCAAATTATCTTCCTGGTCAAGAATTGCTGCCATGCCAGCGCGCCCTTCATTTCCAAAGACCTGCAGATTATAAATACAGATTATGAAAACTGTCCAATGTCTAAACAAAGAGCATTGTTTCCAAAAAAAAAAAAAAAGAGGATATACCTCAACTCCATACACCACTGCATCACGATAACCAGCTGCATTGCTCACGACTGCTTCAACTTCTGAGGTAGATACATTTTCACCTTTCCATCTGTAATTTTAAAAGTAAGTCAATCACTCACAAAATAAAAGGGTTCAAACACTCAAATTCTGCATGGAGTTTATTTAAAATACCTGAAAGTGTCTCCAGTTCTATCTTTGAAATAAAGATATCCAAATTCATCAGCAACCAGTAAATCGCCTGGAGGACAAAGGTTACCATGAAACACAGCACATCCCCACTAATTGAAAATCTTAGTCAAAATAGTCATGAATAATTTCATTACCTGATAAAAATGCCATGTCTCCTTTGGTGAAAACATCATGCACCACTTTCTTTTCCGAATCTTTTTTGTTCACATATCCAAGGAAGGCTCTTGATGGATTGCTTGTTATCTTTCCAATAAAAACCCCAGGTTCATCTGGAAAGTTGAAAATATAAAAGACCAATGAGAAATGAAGAAACATAGAAATGAAGAGCAAAAAGATACACGAGAAAAGTGCGATAAATAATTACCTGGTGCACAGGGGATACACAAGCCATTTTTGTCACGAATAGGCTCCCCAGAAAAGGGATCTACTTTTATAATTGAGATAGGATAAACAGCTGGAATAATCCGAGAGACAAATCCAATAGCACCCACTGTATTGTCAATGTTAACTGGAAATAAGAGCATATAATTAAGAAATTTCAAATTTAGGTTAAAACAAAATCTTAAGCTTTACAGAATAATCTTACCAATATTGGCATTGCCTTCAGTTGCACCATAAAATTCAGCTACGGCAGGGATGTTGAAACGATCTACAAATTCTTTCCAGATTTGAGGACGAAGACCATTTCCAAACATAAGTCGTATCTTATGTTGAGTATCTTCAGGCTTTGCCGGTGTTGAAAGAATGTAGCGGCACATTTCGCCAATGTATTGGGCCACCTATGAGGTAAAGCAATCTTTTAATCAAATTGTATTTTGATCAGACAAAAATACAGAGAAGAGAATATTTTAACACAACAGGACAGGTTTTCAAATGGTTTCACATACCGTACACTCAAATTTGAGGCAGTCGGAAAAATAGGCAGATGCAGAGAACTTCTTACGAATAACCAAAGTCGATCCAAATAATAAGGCCTGACCTACACTCATGCAACCGCCTGCAGTGTGATACAGAGGTAGCGGGCAGTAAAACCTGTCACTGTTTCGGAATCCCGAGAGTCTCCTGATTGCAGCAGTGATGAATATGAACCTAAGAAATTATAAATTAGTACACTTCAAAATCAAGTATTTACCTTCTATGAGCAGGAAGATTGAAGAACTTACTTAGCATTTGTAATAACAGCTGCCTTTGGTAAGCCAGTGGTTCCAGATGTGTATATGTACACCAAACGGTCATTGAATGACGGTTTCTCGGGCACACTGGGCTCAGTGCTCGGAGCATTGTGAAGAAGGGCAGTCAGATTTTTTTCTGCCAACCCATGAGAGAAATTGTTTGGTGTGCTGCTCCAGCTGTAGAGAGCTACTTTAGAGGGCAGTTGTTTGGAAATGTCTTTCATGGCTGCAACAGTAAATAAAAAAGAATTTTAAATCAATATTTTGCCGACAAACTGTGCGAGTGCTTGGGAGATGCCTCTTGTTTCCCGCTCTTACCGTCCGACAGCTCACTGGAGTAGATGAGGGCCTGCGAGTCCGCCACGGTGACCGAGTGCAGCAGGGAGTTGAGCCTCAGGTTGTAGTTGATGAGGGGCACCACGACGCCCAGCTTGGCCAGGCCCAGCCACAGGCACACGAACTCGGGCCGGTTGTCCATGAACAGCGCCACCACGTCGCCCTTGCGGTAGCCGTGCTCCAGGAACACGTTGGCCACCTTGTTGGAGTAGGCGTCCACCTGCAAGCACGTCGCGGATGAAAATCCGTGCCCTGAGGCCGAACAACCCCCGCTGCTGTGCTGGCTGCCTCACAGTGGGCTAGAGGGCCGGTGGAGGCGGTCGGAATACCGGACGCGTTTTAAGCTCCAGAGTCGCTAAATGGGACTCGAACCGAACGTGTGACCCCACCAATGGATTGCTCTCCGCACGAGGAATCGATTGGTGGGGTCACACGTTCGATTCGCGTCCTGGTAAGCGACTCTGGAGCTCAAAACGCGTCTTGGCCGCCGCCTCCACCAGTCTTCTGGCCCACGGTGCGCCTGCTGCTGCTGCTTACCTCGGCGAACGTCATCTGCGACTCCTCGCACATGAGGCACACCTTGTCCGGGTACTTGGCGGCCATGTCGCGGAACATGTCCGGGACGGAGGCATTGCGCTTGGCGAGGCCGTGGATCATCCACTGGACGCGCAGGAAGCGCGTGAAGGCCCTGCAACAAGCACACAGTTCATCAGGCTTGTTTTTGGGTGGAGCTTCCGGACCGGGATTCGAACCGGGGCCGGCCAATGAATGGATAGGCAAGCCCGGTAAACGAACGGCTTCCGTCCGCAGTCCGCGACACTGCGAGGGACAGGGACGTGACGTCCGCGATGTGCATGGCACGGCGTGCTGCGTGCGAAGGCAGGGCGGCCAGAGGCCACGGCACGCACACGCGACGCGCCGCGGACGCAGCCGGCACCGCCAATGCAGAATGCAGGCCAGTGGGCCTCCGCCAGCCTCCGCCAGCCTCCGCGCCGTGGGGAAGGACCAAGGACGCGCGGCTCCACCCACCGCGTGCGGCGCGTCCTCGCGGCCCTGACAGCCTCGCGGTGCACGCCGCCACGCCGCACGCGGCGTGTCACCCTTGTGCCCCACTTCCCCCACCTCCCCCTCCCACTGGCCGTTTACAATTACCAACCTCCTCACACGCCACGCCGCGCCGCGCCGCGGCCAGAGGCTGCGGACGGCGGCATGGCCATCCCAAGTGCCACCGCCATGTCACCGCACGTCCTGGCCGTTGCCCGTTTCGCGCGTGTGCCAGCAGCCTGATTCCGAACAGACCTTTCGCCACTGTCGTTACCGGCCAGGTGATCGCGGCGGCAGGCGAAGAGCAACTCGGAGATCTGGTGCAGGTGGGCGGGGCGAGGCCATGTCATCCTACGTCGGGATCCAAACCCGAGACCCGGCGATGCGACGACGTCGACGAGGACGTCCTAGAGGAGGGACCGGACCGGACCGGACCGCGTGCCGTGCTGGAGGTCATTAGGAGGCACGAGCTCTGGGCCGCCGCCGAGGACCGGCCGAACCACGTGCGCACTAAGTGGTGGTACACCAGTGTACACAACGTGGAACAACGGCGGCACTGTCGCGGTTTCGGGGCGAGATGGATCGGCCGGGTGGCGCGCCATGGCGGCAAATAGAAAGCCAAAGTGCAGCAGTCCAGTGGCGTGTCCAGAAATTTCGCAAAAGGGGGAGCGCCAGGCTTTTCGCCTGCATTCAGGCGGAGCACATCGCGATTTGCCTTCCCAGCAGGCGCTTGTCAAGAGCGAAAAGAGTCCCATTTTTTTTACGGCACGCCACTGGTACAGCCAGAGTGCAGGCAAACGCCGCCCAAAGCGACTAAAGACGGAGACGGCCACGGGCTCGTCAGTCAATCAGCGGCGTGCTGCAGCTGCCGCAGCGCCGTGCCCAGCATTGATTGCTTTCGGGGGCAGAATTGCACTGCAGAGGGTTCGGGGGCACTCGGGCAGCGCTGCGCCTCGAATTAGCGGAGGCTAGCGAAGGCCGGGGGGGGGGGGGGGGCAGGAGAGGGGCCTTGGGAACCGCGGCGCCAGCACGGGCCGTAGTGCACGACGGACGCTGGATGCTGGATGCACGCTGAGCCTTACCCGCCCCGCCCCGCCTGCCCCGCCCCTCGCCGTTGCCACATTTGACATCGATCTGGCGGGGGCCCCCCTAGCCCCCCACGCGCGCCACGCGCAGGGCGCCCCCGCAGCCCCACAGAGCACAGCCCGCCTGGCGCCCACTCGTTTCGAATCGCGACGGTTTTCGCCGTCGCCGTATGGAGAGGAAAAGGAAAGCACTCTGTGTCACCGTGTAGGCTTCCGGTACTCCTCTGGCTCAAAGTCCGTTCACACCCCGCCCCGCCCCGCCCCGCCCCGCCACGTCACTGTTGCTCTCGCTGTTGACGCACCGGGAATGCGCGACGTGGCCCGCTGCGCACTGCGCCGCCGCGCCCGTCTTCGCCGTCGCGGTGGTCGCGGTCTTGGAGGCGCCCGGGCCGGGCCGTTTGACAAAGCCGCCTGGTGACAGTGCTGACACGTGTCGGCCTCCATCTCGTCCAGGAGGGCCTCCGCCAGCAGCAGCGTGGCGCGCGCAGCTTTCGCACCCCGCCACTCGAAACTCGAGCCCGGCCCGCCCCACCCCGCCCTGGCCTTGGCGCGTGCCCGTGGCTGCGCTAGCAGTGTGCTATGCGCCGATGGCGCCTACCCGGTCAGGCCGGGCGACCTGGCCCCCGTCTCTGTCCCTCCCCAGCGGGGCCGCGGGGCGCGAGAGAGACAGACGTCGCGTCCAACCCTCGCCCAGCCCGTCACCCGAACTACGTAACAGTTAAACACTACCTCCGCTCCGGTGGGTATATGGTCTTCCCCAGCTGACCAGCGTTTTGTCGCTCTCTCTCACAACCGGGGCGGGACGCCCAACAAGTGCGAGAGAGACAGAGCGCCGAATCGGCGTGCTATTGCGCAACATGTGGGCGACCCCCCGCGTAGCCCCGCCACTTTCATCCCTGTTCAATTTCAGCGACAGCAAACGGCGCTTCATTTTTCACCTTTGAACCAACCTGGTGGCCTCGCAGTGCCCCCCCCCCCTCCTCTCGCCAACGCTTTGCGGTCGGGCGTCAACGAGTAAGGCAAACTCGCCAAGTAAATAGCGCGCTGCGGACCAGCAGAGGGAAGTTTTTCGAGTGTACAGTGTACACGCCAAACGATAGGGAGCCCCCGAAAAAGGGGAGGGGAAGGGGGGGGGGGCGTCTGAAGTTTGGACAAAGTTACTTTACGTAGATAACCGCGTTTTGGGACAGTTTTGTCCACAAGCTGCTTTGCAAAAATAATTTTTTAAAACCCTTGATATTTGTCGTTTTTATTAAATTTTGCACTGAAATAATTTTTTTGCGTGGATGGGTGGGAATACGAATGGTTCATGGTTCATTCTGCTGGCAATGTCGCGGCTTTATGGCACTTTGAGGGTTGCGCTTAATGTGTGCTTAAGGCACCGAGGCGGAAGGACTGGGGGGTGGGGGGAGGGGCAAAGCCCAGAGAGTAGTTTTCATATGATCCAACAGAAACAAACTCTCCATTGTAACGGCGACTTGTCCTGAAGTAGTCCTAGAACCCGAATAAGGGACTGTCAAGACCTGAGCAGCGGGGTGGACGATGACACCGCTGATACACTGCGAGCAGACGTCTGCTTAACCTCACTCCCCGCAGTGCAGGGCCGAGGGCTAAGGACTCCCCGGGTCAAATTCGTGAATTGAACCCGTCGGCATGGCCAGGGCAGCCGATGCAGCGGCGAGTCCCAGTGCCGCCACGATCAGCTGATCGGCCCTGCGCGCGGCGTCTGCTGGGCAGCACGCCTCCAGGGGCAGGGCCTGGCCAGCAGACGCCAGCAGACGACGCGCGCGGCCGCCCTAACCTCACTCTTTGACAGCGCGCTCGCTTGCACCCCGTCGCCCCGCCAGCCCGCCAGCGCGCTGCACCCCGGCCCTGGGTTCGGCGACCGCGAGCGTGACTCACATCGCCGTCGCGGAGAGTCAGTCACGCCACCGGGACCGCGGACGACAACAACAAGGTGCTCACCTGAGGTCTCGGGGCGCTGTCTTGGCCGCGACGTAGAACCAGCGGTAGCGCCGCCCCGTGCACAGGTACACGGCCGCGGCCACCACCACCACCTGCACGAGCGACGCCCAGCCCAGGAAGTAGGCGAACACGGCCGCGAGGACGGCGACCACCACCAGCATGGTGATGAACAGCGCCACGCGGCGACACAGCTCCAGGGAGGGCCTCCGACTCGGGTTGGCGCTGGCCGCGCACTGCAGGGGCTGCGGCTGGGGCTGGCCAAGCAGACCGCCTTCGACGTCATCGCTCTAGAGGGGGAAACACAAACCAAAACAACGGCCTTTAGACAATGGCGCCGGGTGACATCTAGCGGCCGCGGACGCAACGAGAGCGCCTCGCGCGCGGACAGTGGCGCCCCCCTGGCGGCCGCGGTCGCACCACGCCGCGGAGCGCGGAGAGCGCGGTCACTCCCCCCGTCCCGCGTAGCGCGCCAACTTCGAACCGGGCCGCGCGCGTGGCATAAAGAAGCCGGCCAAGACTAACGCGAAAATGTGGATAGAACGGGCCGGTGATCGCGAGGCCGGAACGACACCATGCCGCCTAGACCTGGAGAGTACACTTCCAAAAGGGTCCCGTTGTCCACAAGTGGTAAAATTTAAAAAAAAAATGCTTTTTTGCAATTTTTGTTTGCAATTCGCCCTCTGGCGCCTGGCGGCACGGCGCTGGCAACCCGACCGCGGCGCGGACTAACTGCCCGCAATCCGCGGTTTGGGGCCAGCGCGACGGATTTGCCGCGGTGTGCCTCTGCTCGCTTTGCTCCCGACAGTCTCAGTTCGATGTAAGTTCGGAATGCCTGCCTGCCTGCCTGTCCGCCCCACTTGAACGCAAGAGAAAGTGGATCCAGCCTAGCACTGCACAGCCGCGCACAGCACCGCTGTACTGTACTTGACAGCTAGCTATGATTTCATGCGCCGAATGGATGGGGTCTGCTGGATATTTGCAAGGCGGCTGGCGCGTTACAGCATGTATTGCACGCCGCTGCATTTGCATAGCCGGCCCACAGAAGGACGTGCAGCACGTGGAGCAGAGCCAACGCCGTCGCTCCGTCTCTCTCGCACTCACGGGGCGCCTCATACACGTGCGAGAGAGACAGAGCGACGACGACGGCGGCGTTCGGATAATCAGCCAAACTGGCCGGCAATTGGCTGAGCACACTGGTAAATTGAGGCGGTGGCTGCGATTGCAGTGTGCACCCAAGGGCGCGGTGGATGCACAGGAAAACGCGACGTTTGCCGGAGCAGTAGCGAAAATATGGACGAGCTAACCGGCTGCGTCAATACGAGGCGAGAATACACCAAAATAAATAACCGTGAGCGTGTGGGTGCGTGTGGGAGCGCGCTTGTGTGTGTGTGAGTGAGTGTGAGAAGGTTCATGCACCCCAGCAGCACCGTGATGGATGAATGAACGACGCGCGGAGACTTTGGACAGGCGGTCAAACGCGTGTTGGGTTCAGAGGCCGGGCGGTCAAAAGATTTCCGTTTGTCAGATCCACACGCGCAGTATCGCCTCACATACTGATTTCCCCCTTCGTTAATACTTTTTGGGTTGGTCGAGGTTGAGGTGGAGCGCGCGGAGCCCTGGTGCACTGGGTGATACACGTAATCGGGCGTTCTGTGGAATGGCGTCGACCTGATTTCCGAGTGCAGCTCCGGGCTGCTCTACGACTACGATGTCAGGGCTGTAATGTCCATATGCATAGCCAGGCCGCCCAGCCCGGCTGGCCGCTTTCCCGCGTTTTATGCATAGATACGACTCCCCGTTCGCCTGCCATATTACTCTGCACACGGATACCCAGCAAAAAAAAAAAAAAAATTGTACAGATTTAGCGCCGGCTCGCAGCTCTCGGGGTGATTGAAGCCATTAGCACATCGGACTATCACACGGCCGTGAACCCAACTTTGAAACCTGATCAATAAAAACGGCGAGGCAAGTCTGGGAAGTCGGTGCATGGGGCAAAGAACAATCTCCGCAATACAAAGCAATTGCGGAAGCGCTTTTAATTCGCCAGCGGACACGCGATTATTCGCATTCCTGACAGATTATTCGGCCCGAAGAAGTTTATTTGCAATGCAAAACCGAATGCGCTGCTCCCGCGAAGTTGATTTTATTTTTTTAACGGTGTAACAAAGTCGTCTTTTCATTGGAGGAGGGCCACTGTTCTGCTCTTGTTGGCGTGCCCGACAGCAACAGGCGGCACATTAGCCGACAAAATGGTCCATTTATAGCGAGCGCTACTCCACTCAGAGCACCGCAAGAACGCTCCCATGATACTCAGGAGGCCCCCGGGGCGCGGCGGGCCTCGGGTCTCGAGCGGTGCTCCAGCAAGACAGCCCATCGGGGGAAAAAATATAAGAGAGCTCAAAATTATGTCCGGCTAGTTGGCCAGGTACTTTTCCTAGCCGGCCACGCTCCGGCGAGTCTCAGTTCCGCGCGGGGTGCTCCAGGAGAAGAAGTGGGTTATGGCTATATGGTCGGCTGGGGCGCGGCAAGGCAAGCTGCCTATCATTTTTTAAATATTTTTTTTTCGTGCCGATTGCACGGCGCTGGGAGTTCAGCCGGTAGGTCTCCACGCCCGCGACGGACGGACGGCCCCGCCGAAGATGGTCCACGGCCGGATCTTTCCATGCCTTCCAGGCCCCCCACCACCGCCGCTCGTGACGTCAAAGGAAGACCAAGTGCATCGTCTCCCGCCGCCTCCAAGGACGACCTGTATGCACGGCCCGCGACTCCGTGACGTCGACGTCGGCAGCCCGAACTCCCAGACTCGCACGGGCACTAACACACACAGCCACTCACACCGACACACACCCTAATGAGTTCTGCTTTCTGCTCGCGGTGCGGGATGCGTCTCGCCTTCGTTGGGGCCGCGGGCTGCCGAAGTGGCGAAGCTGGTCTAGTCGCGTCAACCTGTCCGGAAGCCCCTCGCCGCGAGCGAGACGCGTTCGCGTTATCAAAGCGGCCGCGCTCGTCCGGAAGAAAGAATGTCCACGAAACGCGGCTGGAAATAAAAGGTCATTAGTGTGCCACTTTGCGGGTCGCGGCGGCCGAGTCAAACGAGTCGATTCTGGCGGGCCGCGGTCGCGCCCACCAGCGCTCTGTCTCTGTCGCACTCACGGGGCGTCCCGTCGGGGTGCGGGAGAGACAGAGCGACGAGCCACTGTCCTCCGCTGTGCCCGCCAAAGGACGACTCCCAGGACGTCGCGGAAGTGCCCCATTTCGATGAGCGCCCCCACGCCCTCCATCAGCAACACGCCCCCGCAGCAGCAAGGCTGATTCGACCAGGGTCGCTCCGTCCCTCTCGCACTCATGGGGCGTCCCCTGTGGGTGCGAGAGAGACAGCGTTGATTCAGGTTTAAAAAGCGCCTGCGGAGGCGAGGGTAGGCCGTCCCGCAGCACAGCCGTGTCCGCCGGGCCGGCCCGCCGCGCAGGGGCTGTAGCGCCTGCGGACGTCGGGGTAGGCAGACCCGCCGCACTCGCGCGCAGCCGGGCGGCCCAACGCGCAGGGGCTCCAAGTGCTTCACTGCAGGGACGAGCGGACCGGGGAGGTTTAACGGTGGCGAGTCAAAGGGCGGAGGCGACGCCGACGACGCGGCCCGAAGTGTAGCCGAAGTGCAGCCGAGTGCACGGGAGGCTGACGCGGCTGACGCGCTGGCGGGGCAGCCACAATGACAACAATGGCAGAGTCCTCATTGCCTGACAAAGAACGAAAGTCGCTTTCCGGCCTTTCCGGTCCCAAGCGGCCAACAATGAAATTGCGTTCCGGCGTTCCGGCGCCCCGGGCCGCGTGTAGAGTCACCGCGGCGCCTGCCTCGCAGTGCAGGACGGCACGGCACTGTAGGATGAGCGTCGCTGTCTCTCTCGCACTCACGGGGCGTCGCGCAGAGGACAGAGAGAGACTGCTCGGAATCAGCTGGCTGACGGTGACGGCACGGCGCCTCGGGGTGGCGCCCGCTGACTACAGCTCGCGCGCTCTCTCTCTCTCTCTCTCAGCCCACTCGTGGGTTGGAGTGGAACCGCGCCACAAATACACGCACCTACTATTACCCCGGTTGCGGAGTGGTTCTGATTTTTCTCCCCAATTACCCAGCCAGCATCCAGCCAGGCAGTGACGGGCCCGCCCGATCGGGAGCCGACGGCGGTGGCGAGCAGGCTTCGGGGATCACGTTGGCGACGACGAGACTGCTTCCTGTTTCTACCGAGCTCTCCACTTCCGCTTTTAGGGCCCTTCCGTCACCGCCCGATCGGCCTGACCCCACCAGGCAGGGATTAGTTCGCGTCTCCCATGCCGCCTTTATGGCGGGGCCTAGCCTCACACCGGGAGAGCCCCCTCGGGGTTCATCCCGGTTCATCATCGCCCAGTGCATGATGGTGGTGGCGCAACCAGCACCGCGCGCGCTGTGTGTGTGTGTGTGTGTGCGGAGGACGGCGGAGGTAGGTGCTGACCCGAGGCGTCAATCCGACGCGCGGTGAACTTTCTATGCGCGCGTTGGTTGTTGCTCGTCTTGCGTCACAGAGCACCGTATTGTTGTGGTCGTCTCTCTCTCTGTCTCTGTCACACACACAAACAAACACATCACGCCTCTGCCGCTCTCTCTCTCTCTCTCTCTCTCTCTCTCTCTCTCTCTCTCTCTCTCTCTCTCTCTCTCTCTCTCTCTCACGCACACACACACACACACACACACACACACACACACACCACAAAGCGCTCGCCCAGAGGCATCACGCGAAGACGGGACGGTGTCACTGGAGGTGAGAGGATTGCTTGATTCTGCTGTCGCGTTCATTACTGCACCCCACACACACACTCACACACTTACACACATACACACACACAAATACACCCACACTTGAGAAAAATGGCCGCGTCACGTGCATCACGTGAAGTGCACGTGGGTGTGCATTTCCTCCGCACTTGCAAGGTCGGCACGCAGAGCGGACGCAAAGGGTCGTCTCTTCGCACCGCGGCGGCGAGCCCCTGGGGCGACAGAGACAGAGCGACTCGTCGGAGTCGGCCCGCGAGGGGCGCGCGCACAAACCGCCAAGCCTCCCGGTCGGGTCTCCGCGGGCTCAGCGCGCGGGGCGCTCGGAAAGTGGGGACTAATTTCGGCCGCGCTATTGCGAGAGGTCGATCTTCGATCTTCGATGTGGACACCTCTCTATCTCAAAGCGCCAGCCCACTGCAAGAACACGAGTTTTTCTGGGGTTTACGAAGGGGATTTCAGAACGGCCCCGCACGGCACGCCTGCTAATACCTGCAATAACAATCCGCGGCGATTGCAGGCAGACACCGAGATTCTCTCTTTCCTCGTCACACACGCACGGAGCGTCCCGCATGGGTGCGAGAGAGACAGAGCGACGTTGTGTCAGGCAGAGCGCCCGCGGGAGGCGGGGTAGGCAGCCACGTCGCACAGCGGCGCGCGGCGGGACCGCGGCCAGCTTGGCCCCGCGGACTGGTTCCGCCGGGTGCGAGAGAGACAGAGCGACGAAGTGGTTCATCGGAATCGTTGGCCAGGCAGGCCAGGTGCAGTGACAGGTCAAAAATGCCCGTCGGTCCGGACTTTCCTTTCGCTGGCAAGGCTGCACTAGGCTGCACTAGGTTTCCCCCCCCCTTCCAATCGTCCGGGCGTCCGGGCCGCGAGGCAGGGCCAGGCGGGGCCCATAACGAGGACCCGCTCTGATTCCCGGCAAAAGGGATCAATTTGATCCGCGGTCTCCAAGTGGCACAGTGCGCTGCGCGCTGCGCCCGGGCTGCCAGCTCGGCTGCCCGCCTGGCACACGCACCGCGCACCGCGCACCGCGCTCCCTAATAGCTAAGTATCCGCTGCGCCCAGCCTGCCAGCGGCTGCGAGCCTCGCTAGCCTCGCTCGCGTACTTTCGCCGATTCCCGGACGATAGCGACGCCCGCGTGGTGGAGTCCAGGTCCACGGCGAACATGGCGAACACCGCGTCCAGGACGCAGCCCTCGACGCGCTGCAGGCCGAGTGCGAACGGCGGCTGTGCCTTCGCACTCGCCGTACGAGTGCGAGGGAGACGGCACTGCATACGGAATCAGCCCGCCGCCTCCCAGCCCAGCCCAGCCCAGCCACCGGCCGAACGCGCGATCGCTCCCCGCAGTCCGCTTCGCAGTGGATCGGACTCAGTCATCGCGCGGCCGACCTAACCTCAAAGCAGCGGCCGATCGACGCGGCCACCTCGGCGGCCTGGCGCGGCGCGGGCTGCCAGGCAGGCAGCGATCGGAATGGAAACCAATGGAAACAGCCTGGGCCGCAGGCCTGGACGCGCAGGCAGCGCCGACGCCACACTCACCTGGTCGTCGATCGGATCGCTCATGGTGGCGACTCTCACTGGCTTTTAATTAGCTGCGTCGTGCATCGGTTCGAAGTGCGTCGCGGCCCCGGGCACTGGGGCGCAAGGGTCAAGGCTCGGCGTTGGCGACGCGAGGCGACGCGAGGCGAAGCGACGCGCGCAGTGCTCGGCTCGGCTGCTTCGGCTTTGGGTCTTTGGGTGTTCCCTCGGTTCCCTCACGCAACGGCGGTGCCCGGCCCGGCCCGACCCGGCCGCGAGCAGGCAGGACGAGTTTTGCCGGTCCCCCACCGCCAGGACGCCAAGACCGGCACGCCGGGTAACCCGTCCCCGAAGCCCGAAGCGCGCCAAACATTCAAATCAGAGGCCGTGCAGGCCGTGCACATGCACCGGCCGACGACGCGAGGGCTCGCAGACAGTGCAGGCGCACTCCGCCGCCAGGGGCGCCACCGGGACTCACCTTGGCGCGGTTGCCGTTGACCTCCGGCGGGGGCGGCGGCAGCGCGACGTCCTTCATCTTGTCGTCGGCGGGCGCCGCGTTCTCGATGAGCATGGCGATCCTGGAGGGTCCTGGCGCCAGGCCGTGGCGCCGCACGTCGCACCGACTCACAGAATGACTCTCTCCGCGGCGTCTCTCCGGACGGCGCCGCCTAGAGTCACCGTCCCCGTCCCCGCCACGCGCCGCCGGCTAGGGCCGCACCGCGACGCCCGCGACGCCCGCGACGCCCACCCTGGACGCCCGCGCCGCGCCGCGCACCGCGGGGGAGGCTTCCTGCGAGCAAACAAAGACAGTACAGCGACGGGCAGCGGACGGGAACCCGTCGGGATTCCGATTTCGGGTGCATCTCGCCGCCGCGGCGCACCGCGCGTGATGTTCGGCGTGTACTCCCTGCCGCGTGATTGCCACGATGACGTACTCCAACCGGTTTCCCCACCCGAAAAACCTACTGCAGAGCGATCCCGAACAATGCTTCCGTCGCTCTGTCTCTCTCGCACCGCCGCGAGGCGCCCCGCGAGTGCGAGAGAGGCACAGTTCAGAATCCCCCTGCAGCAGTCCCCGTACACGCGTGGTGACGATGATTAATCACAACGAGTGATTAGACCTCATGTTTTCGTCGCGCCGTCTCACAGTGGGCCAGACGACCGGTGGAGGCGGACAAAACTCTTGACGCGTTTCGAGCTCCAGAGTCGCTGAATGGGACTCGAACCGAACGTGTGACCCCACCAATGGATTGCTCTCCGAACGAGGAATCCATTGATGGGGTCACACGTTCGGTTCGAGGCCTGTTTAGCGACTCTGGAGCTCAAAACGCGTCTAGAGTTTTGTCCGCCTCCACCTGTCGTCTGGCCCACTGTGCGTCTCTCTCTCGCACCCGTACCAAACGCCCCGCGAGTGCGAGAGAGACACTGTCCGGAATGAGCGTGCACACTCCACACGCAAAACGAACCGACTGGCCGCTGGTCTAGTGTTCCGGTCGCTACACTGCTAATTAGAGAAAAGTCTCCGGATGGTGGTTGGTGGAGTGCGAGGCCGCCCCACTTACGCCTTCCGCCCCCCGGGTTCGAACTGCGCAAGGCCTTGCAGTGTGGTGGCATAGTAAAAGGCCGTAAAACCGAGGGGCCGACGCGCAACACGCGATGGCGCCGCGAGCCGGTCCGTGGCACCCGCAGAAGAATGGACCCCACAGCCCTGGCACCGTTCTGAGGTGACCGTCGTGTCCCGTCCTGCCGCGTCGTCTGCCTCCGTCTGTCGGCGGCGTCGGCCTGACGCGACGGCCGACACACTGATGGAGGGCTGTGGGAACGTGCACTGTACACTGCGCACTGTACAGCACGCGCGCCCAGCCGCATCCCCACCACGCAGCAGCAGTAGAAAAACACTCGAAATTCTTACTTTTACCGTCGTGTTTCCGTCCCGTTTGAAACGAAATGGAAAGGCCGTCGCCGCGGTCGGCAGCGCCTTGGTCTCCGTGTCGTCCCGACCACAATCACATTTGCAACGAGGAGCCGGTGGTCAGCCGTGCTCTGTCTCTCTCGCACCCCCGCGGCACCGCGGCGCGCCCCGTGAGTGCGAGGGAGACAGAGCGACATCACCCTGCTGCGCGGCGCGGCCGCCAAGGACTGCGAGAGACTCAAATGCGCGGCCCTGGAGCGCGCGGCTGCCGCCATGGCGTGGCGCAGGGAAGGACCAGGCCCCCTCGCGGGCAGTGCCAGAGAGATAGAGCGTCGTCTGCGAGCAAGGCCCGTCCTGACGTCGCAGTCGATATCCGCACCTCGAAGTTAAAATATCCGTCTCTCTTTTTAGCGTGTCGCGTCGCATTGACAATGGCGGCCGTTTGACCGCGACCGCGGCGCGACGCGGAAAGGCGGGGGAAACGCGGACGAGCGGACGCCACTCATGACCTGCTTCTCGGCACCGCTTTCGTCTGTCTCGCTCTGTCACTCCCGCGGTCAAGGCGCGCGTCCGAGCGAGAGAGACAGCAAATGAGCCTGCTGGAGTGGCGGGTACGCGGTGCTACGCGGTGCTACGCGGTGCGCGTGCGTGCCCTAGCGGCCGTACATAGCCGGCGACCTTGTGGCGGCTCTGGTAGTCGATCCCAGTGGATCGGCGGCCGGGGCGGGGCGGGGCGGCCGGGCAGGCGATGCCGGAATGGAGGATAGCGCAGCGCCGGCGAGCTAGGCGACGGGACCACGGCGGGGCTTGACGCTTGCCTGGCGAGGCGGCTAGAAAGCGCTCGGCGAGCCCCACGAGGGGCAGGGCCCTGCCGGCGAGGCTAGAGGCTCTCTAGGCGAGGCTAGGACCGGACGCTTAGAGACCCAGCAGCCTGGCGCCGACAGCGCCGTCCACCTAGCGCGCGGAGGCACACTGGAAAGGCCCTCCCGCGCGTCCCTCCCGCAGTCACACACGAGCGCGGGAGCGGTGCCCCCCTTCCCCCGCGATGCCAGGACCAGGGAGACTTTCCAGGATTCCAGGATTCCAGCGCCGGGAATGGACGCCCGGTCCAGCGTCCAGCCGCGCTGATTGCCTGATTCGGCCGATAACGTCCGGGCGTTACGTCAAGGGCCTCCTAGCCACACCTAGCCTGCCTGGCCTGCCTAGCCCCATTCCGAACGACCGTTTCGTCGCTCTGTCTCCGTGCGGCGTCCTGTGCGAGTGCGACAGAGACAGAGCGGCGAAACCATCCTTCGCAATTAGTCTAAACTGCTCTCTCTCTCGCACTCACGAGGCGAGCCGAAGAGGTGCGAGAGAGAAGCACTGCGGCCTGGTGACGCACCTGTAAACCGCCCTGCAGCAGGGCCCCCTCCCGACGGGCCGCGCCAGTTCACCATTCATGGATTCCCAACAGGTTTCGTTTCCGCGTCCCGTCCGGAACAAACCTCCCGTCCGTCCGTCCGGTTTGTTGTTGTTTTGGTCCTGCAGTGGCGGTGCGTGGCGCGCTGCAGGCTGCGGCCGAGCAGGGCCTGCAGGGCCGAGGGAAGGACCAGAGGACCAGCCTAGCCGCCCCGCACGCCCCGCGCGCCCCGCCGTCTCTACTCCTCCGCTCCACAACTTTCACGGGGCTCGTCGACTCGTCGCTCCCGAGACCTGGAGGACCTCCCCGGGGAGTGTAGGGAGTCCCGGGGACCCCGCACAGTGGGCCAGAAGACCGGTGGAGGCGGCCAAAACTCTCAACGCGTTTTGAGCTCCAGAGTCGCTTAATGAGACTCGAATCGAACGTGTGACCCCATCAATGGATTGCTCTTCGAACGAGGAATCCATCGGTGGGGTCACACGTTCGGTTCGAGTCCCATTTAGCAACGCTAGAGCGCAAAACGCGTCTTGTGGCCACCTCCACCGGTCTTCTGGCCCACTGTGCCCCGGCCTGCCCAGCCTGCGCGGCCGCGCCCGGCGGGCACTAACAGCTCGGCGGAGCGAAAGGTGCTAAAGGAAGGGATCGAGTGCCAGTTCCGCTGATCGCCGGGATGTTGTTACGATCGCATGAAAAGAGACACTCGCCGCGACGCTCCGTCGCTCCGTCTCTCTCGCACGCGTACGGGACGCCCCGCGAGTGGGAGAGAGACAGAGCGACGAAAGCACTGTTGTCCGCCGCGTGCCGCGTGCCGTATCGCGTCGCGCTCCCTTTTCTCCTAGCCGCACGGCGGCGTCCCACCACACCGCGCACCGCAAGGTGCACCAGCCTCTCAAACGAGGAACGAGGACATGACTGGGAGAAATTGAGAAATTGCGGCGGGCCAAGTCAAACACGTGCGTCGTTTGCCTCGGCGACGGCCAGCGGCACTCAGCCGGCGACATGCCGAAGGACGTCGTAGGCCGCGGCGAGGCCGTGCCGGCCGCGCTAAGACGAGGCATTGCCAACCTGCCCTGGTTTCCCTGGTTCGCGGTTGGCCGGCCTGCCCCCTCCACCGGCCTGCAGTGTGCCAGTCTGCCAGTGCGCCCGTAGTGCCCTACCTCGGTCAATGCACTGCACTGAGTGAAAGGCAAAGGCACCTCGCCGTCATCCTCCGTCCTCCCCGCACCCATTAGAGTCCAGGCGCCGCGCCAGCGCGCCAGCCAGCGCTAGACCAAGCCAGGACCAAGCCCGGCGCAGGGCCTGAGCAGGTTGTTGAAGGCGGCACTAAACTAATCCATCTACACTCCGAAAAAAAAAAAAGATATGCACCCGTTTTGGTCGGTTCAAATTTTCCCGCATTTCGATGAGAACTCAGCCCCGCCCCTATCGGGCTTCCCTCTGGACTTCCCTCCGGTATTCACTCCCAGAATTCCCGTCTTGTCGGGAAATTTCCCCCGCTTTTCTCCTGAACGGTTAAGCCCCTGGATCCGAAGGCAATGGAAAACTGTTTCCCCTGCCTGGATTATTCGGACGAAAAGTTCAGTGCCGCCACTGGAGACTGATTCCACACGGAGCGCTTTCGTCGCTCTGTCTCTCTCGCGCCTGCACGGGACGCCCCATGAGTGCGAGAGAGACAGAGCGGCGACAGCGATGCGCGGAATCAGCGAACGTGAGCTGCCGCCGCGGCAGACTCGCGGAAGGATTCTTCTTCTCAAGTACCCATCGCACCGCGGACGCTGTGGTGGCCATCGCTCGTGCGTCCTTGTCCTTGGCCCGGCTCTGCCTTTCTGTC